CAACCGTACTGCAAAAAAACTGCGCCGGAGAATATGGTGTTGCAACTACTGTACTGCGCGCGAGAATCCGGCAACACATTTGCGCTCCGGGACGTACTGCACGCCCCAAGTGCATGGCAACCCCAGCGATCTGTTGCACCGAGTCTGCTGCACCACCCACTTGTCGCTTGACCCCCTTGTGGGTCGCCGCGGCCCCCCTTCGGAGAAGGCCCGTTTGAGACACTGGGAGTTTGAAATCGGCTCAAAATCGGTCCCCGGACCCCTCCAGGGGTCCAAGCGCACTCGTTTTTCGCGCTGCGTCCGGCCGTGGCGGCGAGGGGGCCCCCCGAAGGCCAACTGTCGGTGTCTCAAATGGGCCTCCTCTGACCCCTGCTCCCCCCAGGAAGGACCCACGGGCGAGCGTGGCCCTTGAAGTGCCTCGGGCGCTCGTAGGGCCACCGGGTCTGGGAGAACTTGAAGACGCTCACCACGGTGCCCTCCGTGCCTCGCCCCGCGAGGGCACGCCACCGGGGAGGCTCCTCCTCCTCCTCCTCCTCCTCCTCCTCCTCCTCCTCCTCCTCCTTTCCTCCTCCTTTCCTCCTCCTCCTCCTCCTCCTCCTCCTCCTCCTCCTCCTCCTCCTCCTCCTCCTCCTCCTCCTCCTCCTCCTCCTCCTCCCGCACTTGTGGCGAAGGCGCTCGCCGCGGAGACCCCCCATACACTCACCGCGAATGCCCTGAGGACGCTCACCACGAAGGCGCTCACCACGGCGCTCTCGCAACGCGCTCACAGACGAGGCTCCCGCTCGAGGCTTCTGCAGAATTCGGGCCCTCGCGAACCCAATAGTGACGACAATTACAGAATAGCCATGGCCCCTCGGATGAGAGCCACAAGGTGGAGACCCAAAAGGGGAGGTCTCCCGCTCGAGACGTCATCGCAACTCACTGACAAAAGAAGCTCCTGCTCACAACTTCCACAAGATTCAGGCCTCAGGAGTCCAACAGTGGGACGACAGTCAAAGGACTGAGATGACCCCCATCGGATAAGAAATATATAGTGGGGACCCCATACGGAGGGGGTTCCCGCTCGAGACTTCCCCGCGATTCACTCACAGATGAGGCTCCTCAAGGATTCAGGCCTCAGGAGGTCAAACGCGACGACAGCTACAGGATTGAAATGACCCCCATCGGATTGGAAACATGAGCAGGGGGCCAATAGAAAGAGTCTCCCGCTCGAGATGGCTTCGCAATGCACTCACAGGCGAGGCTCCAGCTCGAGACGCTCTCAAGATGAGCGCACGAGTGTGCGAGTACGTGAGTGAGCGCGTGAGTGTGAGAGTGCGTGGGGCACCCATGATGACGGTGATGATGACGTTGTGAATGTTTTTTTCCCTGCGCGCCCTTCCGGATGTCAAACTCTGCATTTATTGGTCGTTCGGCTGGCGAGCCAGGGACGCTAAAAGCAGATTTTACCGGTCGCTCGGCTGGCGAACCGGAAACGCCAATACCAAGGATAATCCAACACTCGACGCCGAGCCGCGCACCAGTTGTGAATGTGTGTGTGTGAGAATGATTGGTACTGACAGTAATGATGACGAGTGTGCGAAATAAAAGGAAGAGGAGAGCGGAGTGGGGGTGGTGCTCCCGCGCGGGGGTGGGTGCCTAGAGTTATGATGTTCCAACCTACTTCGAGCCTTGGTCAACAGAAAGAATCTCGAGCTCCACGACAGTACCAAAACGGGGGGTTTTCGCATGTCGGGCCCTGGGGGGCGATACTCGTTCGACACTGCTTCGATACTTTTCTGGGTGCTCGAAATTATGTCTGGGATGTGGTCCTCACGTACGATGAGAGCAACATAATTGGAGGCCTGGAAATGGGCACCAACACCAACACAGGGGGGTGCCTTCACAGGGGAAAGATGATCCTCGATCTCGGTGATGGTGGTAATATTTCGGCCACCTTGGAAGCCAAAATATTGCCACCATCACCGAGATCGGGATCTTCTTCCCTCGGTGGAGGCACATCGCCGAAATTGGTGTTGGTGTCAACATCTAGGCCTGCGACATCAGCCTACAGCTACGAAAACCAAACTTTGGATGGCGGAAACAACAAAACGGGGGGGCGTTCAACACCTTCGGCCTCTGGCGGCCCGCGCCGAGCCCCGGAAACGTCGAAAAAAATGACTCGGGATGCAGAACTGGCCCCTTGGGGGAAGGAGCGACACATCTGTGACTACCTACCAGACCTTTGTGGGCCCCGGAAACGGCAGGGCCGTTTTTTCACCGTTTCCAGAAAAATGCCCATTGAAAATGGAAGCGGCAAAAAAAACGGCGACCGGAAACGGCAAAAACAACGGCTCCAGGATCGGAACTGGAGCCGGAACCGGTCAAAACACGGCGACGGAACCGGTAAAAAAACGGCAAAACGGAACCTGTAAACAAAACTGCAAAACTGAACTGGTAAAAAACGGCCCTGTCGTTTCCAGGGCCCACTAAGTACCAGACCACCCCACTGGGACGCACAGAGACATGCTAATACCATATGTCCGCCTTGGAGGCGCGCGTCCGACCCGAACATAAATATATATAGAGAGAGAGATTTGTACATACATACATACATACATACATACATACATACATACATACATACATACATACAAACACAGACATATATATATATATATATATACTAGAACCACGCGCGCGCTTCGCGCGCGCTTAGGTTCTAGCTAGGAGGCGAGCTTGAGTCAACGAAAGTCGCAGGGAAGGGGGCAGGGGGAAGAAGGCCAGAGAGCGCTGAAGGATACAAATATTGGAACCCTCTTGTGATTTTGTGGGGGGCCTCGTCTGGCCGCTCGCTGGGAGTTTGACGTAGCTTCTCGGGAGCCTCTGAACCTGTCGGGGGCCTCCTGGAAGCAGGTTCGAAGCATTTTGGGGGCCGATTTGGGTCTTCTCGGGGCCTCCTTCGGGCCTCTTGGGGGTCTCCTGGGGCCTCTTGAGGGGCCTCCTGGGGGCCTCCTGGCGGCCTCTTGGGGCGGAAGGCTCGAGCTTGCGGTTCGTGGTCCCCCTCTGGGCCCCCTCTTGGGCCCGTCTTGGGGCCCTCTTGGGCCATCTTGGGCGCCTCTTGGGCCGTCTTGGGGCCCTCTTGGGCTGTCCTGGGGCCCTCTGGGAAACTTTTTGGGCCGTCTTGGGGCGGTATTGGGCGCCTCTTGGGCCGTCTTGGACGCGGTGAAAGCCCAAGAGGCGAACATGCGAAAAATATACGTTTTCCCATAGGAATGCACGATGGTGCTTCTTGGGCCTCTCTTGGGCTGCCTCTTGGGCCCGTCTCGGGGCCCTCTTGGGGCATCTTGGGCACCTCTTGGGCCGTCTTGGGGCCCTCTTGGGCTGTCCTGGGGCCCTCTTGGAAGCTTCTTGGGCCGTCTTGGGGCGGTCTTGGGCGCCTCTTGGGCCGTCCTGTAACGTCGGAAAGCCCAAAAGACAACTTTGTTGAAAATGTACGTTTTACGAAGGGAATGGGCCAATTTTGCGTCTAGGGGCCCTCTTGGGACGCATGTTGGAGGCTTCTTGGGGCGTCTTGGGGGCGTCCTTGGACGTCTGGGGTCTCCTGGGGCCTCTTGAGGGGCCTCCTGGGGGCCTCCTGGCGGCCTCTTGGGGCGGAAGGCTCGAGCTTGCGGTTCGTGGTCCCCCTCTGGGCCCCCTCTTGGGCCCGTCTTGGGGCCCTCTTGGGCCATCTTGGGCGCCTCTTGGGCCGTCTTGGGGCCCTCTTGGGCTGTCCTGGGGCCCTCTGGGAAACTTCTTGGGCCGTCTTGGGGCGGTCTTGGGCGCCTCTTGGGCCGTCCTGTAACGTCGGAAAGCCCAAAAGGCGACTTTGTTAAAAATGTACGTTTTACGAAGGGAATGGGCCAATTCTTGCGTCTAGGGGCCCTCGTGGGACGCATGTTGGAGGCTTCTTGGAGCCTCTTGGGGGCGTCCTTGGACGTCTGGGGTCTCCTGGGGCCTCTTGAGGGGCCTCCTGGGGGCCTCCTGGCGGCCTCTTGGGGCGGAAGGCTCGAGCTTGCGGTTCGTGGTCCCCCTCTGGGCCCCTCTTGGGCCCGTCTTGGGGCCCTCTTGGGCCATCTTGGGCGCCTCTTGGGCCGTCTTGGGGCCCTCTTGGGCTGTTCTGGGGCCCTCTTGGAAGCTTCTTGGGCCGTCTTGGGGCGGTCTTTGGCGCCTCTTGGGCCGTCCTGTAACGTCGGAAAGCCCAAAAGTCAACTTTGTTGAAAATGTACGATTTACGAAGGGAATGGGCAATTTTTTGCGTCTAGGGGCCCTCTTGGGACGCATGTTGGAGGCTTCTTGGGGCCTCTTGGGGGCGTCCTTGGACGTCTGGAGGCCATCTTCAGCATCTCGGAGCCCTCTTGGAGGCCTCCTGGAAGTTTCTTGGGCCGTCTTGGGCGCTTCTTGGGCCGTCTTGTCTGACCGGGGAGGCCTCCGGCAAGCCCCGACGAGCCTCCGGGCCCCCCGGGGCGCACATTTGTGGTCGAGGTCCCGGCCCCGGGCCCCCGGACCCGGTGCGCCGCTATATGTATATATACACATACTGCGTGAGTGGAGGTTTGCCGACGCGCGCTTCTCTCTGGCGTGCAACTGCCAGCAAGCTGCGGTGTGCGATCGACAACCAACGTGAAATCGATGATCGTCGCCTCTTCAAGCCCTCTTGGGGTCCTCCTGGGTCTGAGGCCCTCTAGGGCCGTCTTGACAACATCTTCGGCCGTCTTGGGACCCTCGTGGGCAGACTCCGGGCCCTCTTGGCCTGTCATGGGGGCCTCTTTGGGCCTTGTTGGGCAGTCTCGGGTGCCTGCTGGGCCATCTCGGGGGCCTCTTGGGACACCCCTTGGGCCCCTCCTGGGCTATCTTGGGGGTCTCCGGGGCTCTTGGGCCGTCTGAGGCACGTGAAACAATAACAGGAATAAGGACTTCAGAGATAAGAGACAACCAAGCCGGGAACGCACTGGGAGCCGGCGGGGCTGGGGCATCGGGCCTCAGTCTAAGCTCGCCACTGCGATAGAGCTCGGAGCCGAGCTCGGCGCTAAACGCGTCTTTCCGACACGCGAAAGGGATAATTCCTTTTTGCCGCACTCTGCCTCGGGCGTCGAAACCTCCGTATGATCATCTTCTCCTAGCAAGCCTCCGACGGCAAACCCGGCCTTCCCGAGATGCTTGGCGTAAAAGTTCAAGTACGGGATGCCCGCCTCCGTGCGCCCGTGGACGACTTTTAGCTTCAGTGGGCCGAACTTCGCCCACCCCGCGCCCGCCTCGTGCGTCGTCTCGGCATCGAAGGTAAGGCCGCCGGCGTGCACCTCGTCCGCCCACGCTCCTGTGATGTTTAGCCTCTGGAAATACATGTCCGCGCACTGCACACCCATTCGGCGCACGTCGGCCTGGGCAGCGAGCAGCGCGTATTCCACAGGTTTTCCTGGCGGAGAAAAACGCAACACGACCAGACACGTTCGAAGATAGGCTGGCTTCGGGAGCAACTGACAACTACTAATGATGTTGACCCTTTCAGTGGGCCCGCTAGTATGGCCATGCTAGCGACATGAAATAGCAAGGATAGTGCAATGCTATTACCATGCTACTGCCATGAGATGGCCATGCAGCATGGAAATTGCATGGCCACTGCATGGCCACTGCATGGCAACTGCAGAGCAACTGCATGGCCATAGCATGGCAATGGCATGGCAACAGCATGGCATCAGCATGGCAACTACATGGCAATCGCATGGCAATAGCATGGCAATAGCATGGCAACTGCATGCAAACAGCACGGCAACTGCATGGCAATCGCATGGCAACTGCATGGCAACTGCATGGCAGTCGCATGGCAATAGCATGGCCACTGCATGGCGACCGCATGGCAATAGCATGGCAACTGCGTGGCAATAGCATTGCCATTGAATGGCAACTGCATGGCAATAGCATGGCAATTACATGGCAATAGCATGGCAATAGCATTGCAATATCGTGAGAACAGCATGGCAACTGCATAGAAATAGCATGACCAACTGCATGGAAACAGCATGGCAACTGCACGGCGACTGCATGGCAATTCGGTGGCAACTGCCTTGCAATTGAATGAAAACTGCATGGCGATCGCATGTCAACTGCATGGCAATTGCATGGCAACTGCATGGCAAATCCATTGCGACCACATGGCAATAGCATGGCAACTGCATGGCAATCGCTGCATGGCAATCGCATGGCAATTGCATGGCAATTGCTCCATGGCAATCGCATGGCAACTGCATAGAATAGCATGACAATCGCATGTCAACTGCATTGGAATAGCATGACAATAGCATGTCAACTGCATTGGAATCGCATGGCAATGGCATGGCAACTGCATGGCAATCGCATGGCATTATCATGGCAATAGCATGGCACCTGCATGGCAATAGCATGGCAACTGCCTGGCAACTGCATGGCAACAGCATGGCAACTGCATGGCAATCGCATGGCAACTGCATGGCAACTGCATGGCAACTGCATGGCGATCGCATGGCAATAGCATGATAACTATACGAAACTCGCGGGACAATCGCATGGTAACAGCATGGCAACTGCATGACAATCGCATGGCAACTGCATGGCAATTGCATGGCAATAGCATGGCAACTGCATTGCAGTCGCATGGCAATAGCATGGCAACTGCATGGCGATCGCATGGCAACTGCCAGGCAATCACGTGGCAATAGCATGTGAACTGCATGACAACCGCATGGCAATAGCATTACAATAGAATGGCAGGTGCATGGCAATGGTATGGCAACTTCATGGCAGTCGCATGGCAATAGCATGGCAATGGCATGACATGGCGATCGCATGACAATTGCATGGCAACTGCATGGCAGACGCCTGGCAATAGCATGGCAGTAGCACGACAGTAGCACGGCACTAGCATGGCAACTGCATGGCAATATCATTGCAATCGCATTGCAATAGCATGGCAACAGCATGGCAACTGCACGGCAATCGCATGACAACTGCATGGCAATCGCACGGCAATAGCATGCAACCGCATGGCGAAACATGAAAATACCATGGCAACTGCGTGGCAAGATTATGGCAACTGCATGGCAGTAGCATGGCACCTGCATGGCAATCGCATGGCAGTAGCATGGCAGTGGCATGACAACTGCATGACCTTGGCATGGCAACTGCATGGCAACTGCATGGCAACTGCGTGGCAACTGCATGGCAACTGCATGGCAATAGCATGGCAACAGCATGACAATTGCATGGCGATAGCACGGCAATAGCATGGCAACAGCATGGCTATCGCATGGCAATAGCATGGCAAAAGCATGGCAACTGCATGGCGATCGCATGGCAATTGCATGGCAACTGCATGGCAACCGCATGGCAATAGCATGGCAGTAGCATGACAGTAGCACGGCACTAGCATGGCAACTGCATGGCAATAACATTGCAATCGCATTGCAATAGCATGGCAATCGCATGGCAACTGCACGGCACTCGCATGACAACTGCATGGCAATCGCACGGCAATAGCAGGCAACCGCATGGCAAAACATGAAAATACCATGGCAACTGCATGGCAAGAGCATGGCAACTGCATGGCAATATAATGACACTAGCATGGAAACTGCATGGCAATAGCATGGCAACTGCATGTCAATCGCATGGCCATAGAATGGCACTAGCATGGCAATCGCATAGCAATAACATGGCTACGACATGACAATATTATGGCAACTGCATGGCAATCGTCTGGCAATAGCATGGCAACTGCATGACAATTGCATGGCAACTGCATGGCAAGTGCACGGCAACTGCATGGCAATAGCATGGAAACTGCGTGGTGAACGCATGGCAATCGCATGGCAACTGCATGACAATCGCATGGCACCAACATGGCAACTGCATGGCAACTGCATGGCAATAGCATGGCAATGGCATGGCACTAGCATGGCAATGGCAGCATCACCTGTGCATGTCGTAACAGCATGTGGCAACACTGCCAAATTCGCATTATGCAATAGCTGGGCAAGCTGCATGCAATAGCATAGACAACGATGCATGACAATTCATAATGAAGAATAAGCATGCAACTGCAATCCGCGCGCACTGCATTGGATAAATCGCGGCGACGATACCCACGTCTCCTGCAATGACAACATGTCAACATCTAGGTTCCGCACGCGCTGCATTACTGCATGGCAAACATGCATGGCCGCCGAGCATTGGCGATAGCGTTGGCCAAAACTGCATGGAAATAGCATAGCAACAGCCATTGCAATCGCATCGGCAATACCATGAACAGACGCTGGCGCAATTTCCCCCCTCCCCCCCCCCCCCCCCCCCCCTCATGGTGCAACCGCATTGGCAACTGCATAGCATTATATCATCGGAGGTTTCGGCGGTGAGATCGAAGTGGAACGGAGAGCCCCCCTACGGGGAAATCGATTTCGGTTTCGTGTTCGTGCGTGCCGTGCGGGCGAGGCGAAGCTGCGTGGGCGGGCGAGAGAAAATTTCCTGTGGCTGAGGCGCGGCGGGACCAAATGTCTCCCTTCCGGGCGGCCGGTGGCCCGCGGTGTCCCGCCGGTGTCCCGCGAGTGTCCACGTGGTTGGCTGAGTGCGCGCGCCGGACCAATGACTCCCCCCTTCCGGGGCGGGGCGCGGGGGGTGCCACGCGTGTCCCGCCGTGTCCCGCGGTGTCCTCTGCGGTGTCCCCGCGTGTTCCCGCGGTGTCCCGCCGGTGGCCGTGCGGTGAGTCCTCTGAGGCGCTGATGAGCAAGATGACATGATGTCATGAGGATAGATATGTCTGATGATGATGATGGAGGAGATCGTGATGATGGAGACGACGATGAGAGATGATGAGAGGAGGAGAGTGAATGAAATGATGATGGTGTCCTGATGAAGATGATGATGATGATGTTGATGATGGTGTCGATGATGATGACAGTGTCCCGATGATGAGGATGATGATGCTCATGATGATTATGTTGATGATGATGGCGATGATGGTGTCCCGATGATGATGATGATGATGATGATGATGATGATGATGATGATGATGATGATGATGAGTCCGATGATGTTGGTGATGATGATGTTGATGGAAATGGTGTCCCGGCGATAATGATGTTGATGATGATGATGTTGATGATGATTATGGTGTCCCGATGATGATGCTGATGATGATGATGGTGATGATGATGATGGTGATGCTGATGGTGCCCCGATGATGATAATAATGATAATGACGATGTTGATGATGATGTTGCTCATGATGATGATGATGGTGCCCCAATGATGATGATGATGTTGTTGATGATGGTGATGTCGATGATGATGATGATGCGATGATCATGATGATGATGGTGTCCCGAGGATGATGACGATGTTGATGATAATGTTGATGATGAGAACGATGGTGATCATGATGGTGTCCCGATTATGATGATGATTCTGATGATGCTGCTGATGATGATGACGATGACTGTGTCCCGATGATAATGATGATTATGTTGATTCTGAGATGATGATGGTGATGATGATGATGTGGTCCCGGTGATGATGATGATGTTGTCCCGATGATGATGCTGACGTTGATGATGATGTTTATGATGATGATGATGATGATGATGATGATGATGATGACGGTGCCCTCATGATGATGACGATGTTGGTGATGATGTTGATGTTGATGATGTTGATGATGATGATGATGATGACGTTGATTGTGAGAGCGATTGTGATATCGATAGTGAGATCGATATTGAGACCGAATGTGAGATCGAGTGTGTGATCGATTGTGAGATCGATTGTGAGATCAATTGTGAGATCGATCGAATGAGATAGATCGAATGAGATCGATTGTGAGATCGATCGAGTGAGATCGATCGAGCGAGACCGATAGTGAGATCGATACTGAGATCGATAGTGAGACCGATCGAGTGAGACGTTGGTCCCCCCCCCCGAACCTCCTTATCACCCGAAGGGTGGTCGTATAGGTAGCATTAGTATGAAAACTGCATGACCATCGCATGGCAACTGCATGGCAATGGCATGACAACTGCATGGCAATAGCATGGCAACCGCATAGCAAATGCTTGACAAGTGCATGGCAACTGTATGGCAATCGCATGGCAATAGCATGGCAATAACGCGACAATCGCACGGGAATGGCATGGCGACTGCATGGCAACTGCACTACAATAGCATGGCAACTGCATGAGAATGGCATGCTAACTGCATGGCAATAGCATTGCGATGGCATGCCAACTGCATGGCGATAGAATGTCTACTGCGTGGCAATAGCATGACAACCGCATGGCAACAGCAAGGCAACAGCATGGCACCAGCATGGCAATACCATGACAACTGCATGGCAATAGCATAGCCAACTGCATGGCAACTGCATGGCAATAACATGGCAACTGCAGGGCG